GCTCCCTCTGCGATTTCCCCATGTTCCGGCGGTGCTAGAGAAGCCGAGGAGTGCCACAGCAAGGAGAGTGCTCGAGCCTGCGTGGCGATGGTTCCGAGGGAGACGAAGCAAGGGGAAACGGAAGCAAGATACGCAGGAAAAGGAAGCCGCAGGCTCTCCGGGAGTTTACGGAAACCTTCCAGAGGAAGGAGGGAAGAGAATCCCGCCAGCCCTTTGGGGCGACAGGCGGTTTAACGAGATCTTTCTTTCCTCTTCCGAAGAAACCCCTCTTTCCTTCGGGGAAGGGTACCCCCCCCTCCCCTCCCAGGATTGTTTTGGAAGGTTTCGCGAGGGGTTGGAGGAACGAGGAGAAGGCGGAGGCGGACGAGGAGAAGAAGGAGGAAGAGGAAAGGGAGGAGGAGAAGTAGGAGGAGGGCGAAGATGCTCCAAAATGGCACCCGGCATTGCTCAACATCCTCATCACCTCCCTCTCCTTGCTCACTCTGATTCACTATATGTGTCTAGTATTGCCATTCCCCGCCAGCTCTCATGGGCAGGGCTTCTGAATTGGCTGGCGGGGTTACGCGAAGCGTGAATAATTCCTTTCTTGGACGGCGTGGGCCTTCTAATAGCCTCCGGAAGCTCCACCGAGGCAGGAGGGAGAAGGCTCCAGGTCTTTCACTGCATGTGCCCCTCCTGCGGCCTCTGGGCCCTCCGGACACTCCGCCGAGAGAGGAGGGAGCGAACTTCAAGTTTTTGGACGTGTTGGGCCGCGCAACGCCTGAGGCCCCTGGCGACCTCCGAGGACTCCGGCGGGGAAAGAAGGAAGAAGCCAAGGATGTCGACGTCTCAAGCCCTCCTTGGGCCTCCCAGAACTCTCGGGGACCCCGCCGAAAGCGGAGGGGGGAGGGAACACGATTTGAGAACGGCCTTTTGCTTTTGGAACGTCTTGGCCCTTTTGGGGCCTCCGAGGTCCTCCGGAGTCTCGGCGATTTCCAGAGACTTCTGGAAAGTATTAAAAAGGAAACATACAAGAAACACTCAAACTAAGAACAGTTCCTCGCGCCACCGGGAGATCCGCGAGATCCCCGGAGCAATCTGGAGACTTCCGGTGACCTCCGGAGTCTGGGAGGAGACGCCAAGGAAGTCGACGTCTCGAATCCTCCCGGGCGTCCCAAGAGCTCTCGGAGACCCCGCCGACAGCGGAGAGAGGATGCAGGACGATTTGAGAAAGCTTTTTGCGCTTTGGACGTCTTGGCCCCCCTGGGGCCCCCCGGAGGGCAATCCGGAGACTCCCTGGCCGTGACCCCCGGAAAACACACAAAAAAAAAACACAAGCTAACAACACTTCCTCGCAGCACCGGGAGATCCATGAGCCCCCCGGGCAACCTGGAGATTTCCGGTGACCTCCGGAGTACTTCCGAATCCGCCAAAAACGTACGAAAACAATAGAAAACACACTTAACCAACAGAAGGTCCTACCATCATGCCTCCTTTTCTCAATGGAAGCCATCTCATACAGCCTCGCAGCTGCAGCCGGAACCCCCCGCGGACCTCCGGGACCTCCATCTTGCTTTCTGAGGCCCCCCCCCGTGCAGTCCTTCTCCTCCCTTCCCCTCTCTCTCTCATCAGCATAATCACCATCGTCAGCATAATCATCATCATCATCATCATCATCATCATCATCATCATCATCATCATCATCATCATCATCATCATCATCACCATCATCATCATCACCATCATCATCATAATCATCACCATCACCATCATCACTCACTGACTCACTCACTCACTCACTCACTCGCTCACTCACGCACTCGCACACTCACGTACTCACCGTGCAGGGTCTCGAGCGGGAGCCCCGTCTCTGAGTGGATTGCGATGGAATCTCAATCGGGAGCCTCCGGGACACCTAGAAAGTGAACCTTCATAAGTTCCTTCTCCAGACCCAAAAAAAGAGAGAGGAAGTGAACTTTTTCAAGTCCCCTTCCCCTGCCTGGAGAGTGAACCTTTTCAAGTTCCCTCTCCAGTTCGAACGCAGGCGAGAAAGTGAACCTTTGCAAGTTCCATTTCCCGCGGCTGGAGAGTGAACTTTTTCAAGTTCCTTCTCCGGGGGGGAAGTGAACCTTTGCAAGTTCCCTTTCCCGCGGCTGGAGAGTGAACCTTTTCAAGTTCCCTCTCCAGACCCAAGAGAAGAAGGGGAAAGTGAACCTTTTCAAGTTCCCTTTCCCCCGCCTGGAGAGTGAGCCTTTTCAAGCTCCCTCTCCAAACCAAGAAACGAGGGGAAAGTGAACCTTTTCAAGTTCCCTTTCCCCCGCCTGGAGAGTGAACCTTTTCAAGTTCCCTCTCCAGGCCCAAGAAAAGAGGGGGGAGTGAACCTTTTCAAGTTCCCTTTCCCCCGCCTGGAGAGTGAGCCTTTTCAAGCTCCCTCTCCAGACCCAACAAAAGAGAGGGAAAGTGAACCTTTTCAAGTTCCCTTTCCCACGCCTGGAGAGTGAGCCTTTTCAAGCTCCCTCTCCAGTTTGACCGCAAGCGGGAAAGTGAACCTTTGCAAGTTCTCCTTCCCGCGACTGAAGGGTGAACCTTTTCAAGTTCCCCCTTCAGGCCGACCGCAAGCGGGAGAGTGAATCTTTTCAAGTTCCCTCTCCCGCAGCTAGAGAGGGAACCTTTTCAAGTTCCCTCCCCAGCCCACACGCACGCGGGAGAGTGAACCCTGTCAAGTTCCCTCTCCCGCCGAGGACGACAAGGTTGGAAGCAGGAGGGGAGGATCGGAAACGTACAGGTGGCCACTTCCCGTGGTGACGCAAACTCTGCGCCAGCACGACCCGGTAACTCCCCCTTGACCGCCGCACGCGGCCGGGGGAGCCACTCAGGACACAACGGGGCTTTCAACCTCGGAGGCCCGCGCTGGACCTGACATCTGGGGCGGGGCTCGCGCCTGATACTCCCCCTATTCAAGGCTCAGAAGCCCAAAAAAGTAAGGACAGTTACAAGGTTGGGAACGACCCGCTCGGATTACTGACATGATGTGGCGGCCCCGCGGGGAAGGGCTCCCGCATGGGTTCGGCGCACCAGTTTTCCGAGCTGTGGCGCACCGACCTTGGCGCTTGCGTCCGGGGCCGCGCGGGCCGCCCCGCCCCGGACGCGACCAACGCTCCCGGCGGCTCCCCGGAGGCTCTCGACCCGTCTCCGATATCGATTGCTCCGCGGGCTCGTGTCTGTGGACCCCGGGGCCTGAATGGGCCCCATGGGCGCATTCAACCTTGCACGTCGGGGACGACGACGACGACGACAGCCACGACGGCGGCAACGACGGCGACGACGACGACGATCACGGCGGCGGCGGCGGTGGCGGTGGCGACGGCGGGGACGGCGGCGGCGGCGACGAGGACGGCGACGACAACGACGGCGGCGGCGGCGGCCGTGACCGCAGGCCTGGGCCCGGAAACGTGTGAGAGGTATGCCGAAATGAGCGGCGGGCACGCAAGCAAACTGCGCCACTGGATCTTCGGTGGAGCTCCCCATTGGTCCACGAAACTTGTCAGGGCCATGCCGGCAAACTGCGCCACTGCATCTGAAGTAGAGCTCCCCAGGGGCCCACGAAACGTGTGAGGGGTATGCCGACATGGGCGGCGGAGCCTCCCCATGGGGGGCCACGAAACGTGTGAGTAGCGTGGCGCGGACCCGTGAGGCTGCGTCTGGGGCCTCTGCGCGCTGCGTCGGGGGCCTCTGTGGGCAGCGGGAGGGGCACGAAACCGAACAAACAACATGGTTGACCGATACTGTCCTCGCTCAGGCGGGGCCTCCCTGGATTGGCAATCGCCGGCCGACCCGCCCGACCCGACCCGCCCGTCCCGCCGACCGACTCGGCGCCCGCCCGCCGGTCGCCCGGCGATCCGGCGATACGGTGATCCGGTGATCCGGTGATCCGGTGATCCGGTGATCCGGTGATCCGGTGATCCGGTGATCCGGTGATCCGGTGATCCGGTGATCCGGTGATCCGGTGATCCGGCGATCCGGTGATCCCGGTGATCCGGTGATCCGGTGATCCGGGTCCGGTGATCCGGTGATCCGGTGATCCGGTGATCCGGTGATCGATCCGGTGATCCGGTGATCCGGTGATCCGGTCCGGTGATCTGGTGATCCGGTGATCCGGCGATCCGGTGATCCGGCGATCCGGTGATCCGGTGATCCGGTGATCCGGTGATCCGCGGTGATCCGGAGGTCCGGTGATCCGGTGATCCGGTGATCCGGTGATCCGGTGATCCGGTGATCCGGTGATCTGGTGATCCGGTGATCCGATCCGGTGATCCGGATCCGGTGATCCGGTGATCCGGTGATCCGGTGATCCGGCGATCCGGTGATCCGGTGATCCGGCGATCCGGTGATCCGGTGATCCGGTGATCCGGTGATCCGGCGATCCGGCGATCCGGTGATCCCGGTGATCCGGTGATCCGGTGATCCGGAGGTCCGGTGATCCGGTGATCCGGTGATCCGGTGATCCGGTGATCCGGCCATCCGGTGATCCGGTGATCCAGGGGTCCGGTGATCTGGTGATCCGGTGATCCGGCGATCCGGTGATCCGGCGATCCGGTGATCCGGTGATCCGGTGATCCGGTGATCCGCGGTGATCCGGAGGTCCGGTGATCCGGTGATCCGGTGATCCGGTGATCCAGTGATGGCGCCCCCCCACCCCGCTTCCCTTGTGAGGTTTGACCTCTGTCCCGAGCCTGTGCCAGGGTCACCAACTGGTCGTGGTCGTGGTCGTCGTGGTGGTCGTCTTTCTGGGTCGGCGGCACTGGCCGCAAGGCCTTCGCAATAGTTGGGCCACTCTCGCCACCCACATACATGTACAAAATACTTACAACTGCAAGATTGCCACGGGTGACGCCGATGGGAGGAGAGTAGAACGGACAAGAGAGTTGGCTCAGCTCAGGTCGATGGACCTCATCGGACCAGTTGGATGCAGAGGCGATCGTTCATCCATGATGCGACTTGCAAAACGACCCACTTGTTTTTTCAATTCGACTGGGCGATGCATCACAGACAATCCGAGATGTGCGTGCAGAACGAAATGCTGACGGGTCAAAGGTAGCGGCGATGGTTCCAACCACACAAGCTCGCAACCTGACCGCAACTGCTGCGATGGAAAAGACGAAGAGTGGGCCCCGGCACGGAATGTCTTCAGCATCCGGGCCAGCCTTTGACAGCCTGCTCCCACGCCCTGGTGGCGATGGGAAACATGTAATACCTGAGAACACTCAAAATGCAAATAGTTGGGCCACTCTCGCCACCCACATACATGTACAAAATACTTACAACTGCAAGATTGCCACGGGTCCATAGCAAGATCACCTGGTCCACTCCGCAATGTTGTCGAGCATGCCCTGGCACTGAGCCATCGTGGAGTAGAAAGCCCTCACGAACGGCACGCACGTGGGGCCCTTGGTCTTGCCCTTCCAGTCATCGTTCAAGGCCGAGGTCACGGCGCCCGCGACCTTCTCGCCCAGGCGCTTGGCACCCGCCTCCGAGCGCCAGTCCTCCTCCTCCGGCACCAGCACTCCCTGCTCCAGCTTCACGAACTCCGTCGGGCCGCCGCTGTTTGCGCCGATCGTCGGCGTGCCGCAGGCCATGCACTCGATGAAGACCATGCCGAACGGCTCGTTGTAGGAGGGGAACATGCCCACCTCAGACACGGAGAAGAGCTCCGCGAGCACATCTTGCCCCTTGGCGCCCACGAAGAAGGTCCGCTGCAAACCGATCTTGACCGCGAGACCCTCGTACAGCGCAACGGCGTCGGGCGGGCCGCTGCCCACAATCACCGTGGCCAGGTCAGGGAAGGTCTCCTCGTACGCCGCAGCCGCGTAGAGCACGGCGTCCAGGCGCTTCCAGTCAGCAAACTTGCCCACGAAGGTCACGACCCTCTTGATCGGCGCCAGCTTGCCCTTGTCCGCCTCCCGCACGTGCTTCGCCAAATCCTTGACAGTGGCGCCGGTGGGGCGGAAAACGTTCTGGTCCACGCCGATGCACGAGACGACAAGCTTGGACTTCGGATACTTGGGGAAGCATTCGACAAACTTGTTGATGGAGTCTTCAGAATTCACCCAGATACCAGAGCACAGCGCGTCACCAGTGAAGACACCATGGTTCTGGCAGAGGGGCAGGAAGCGCTCGGGGTACTCCGGATCTTTCTTCTTCTCGTTGATGTACATTTTCAGCGCGGTGCCATGGACAAAATTGAAGTGTTTCAGACTGGTCTTCCCCTTCTTCCTGCGACGCTCCAGGATCTGGGCACCGGTCATGGCGTTGATGAAGGCGTGGTGCGTGATCAGGCAGTCGAACTCCTTCCCCTCCTTCTTCTCGATCTCGTCCATGCACTGGCAGACCTCGTTTTCCAGACGCTGGCGATACGCTGCGATCTGCTCGTCGTTCATGGAGTACCACCTGTACGAGGAGTTGGGGCTCACCGACTCGCAGATCGGGATGTCGTGGTCAAGCTTGAACACCCAGAAGTTGTCCTCCTCGCTCGCCTCGGGGCCCGTCTGGTTCTTGCTGGGGTAAATGCTGTAGCACTTCACGCCCGGCATCGAGTTGAAGGTCTGGTGCATGGAGGCGTGCACGATGCCGCTGCCGGGGGCGAACTCGCCCTGCCTCTGCCAATTGTTTGTGCCGATGTGGAACATCAGCGTCTTTGGCTTGGATGGCGTAGACGACTCCGCCATGTTGTCGAGCATGCTCTGGCACTGACCCATCGTGGGGAGGCGAGGCCACGGTAGGTAGATGCGGGGTTGTACGTGAGCGAGTACGTGGTGCTTCGTAGTGGGTTCTAGGAATCTCTCGGACTCCTCTACCATTGAGCCAAAATGGCTACGGATTTGCAAAACGACCCACTTTGACATGCCAATCCTGTTTCGCCCACAAGGCAACGTATTCGGCATCCCGAACTGGCCTCCAATCATACACCCGTGGCATGGGATGGGAAACGCAAGCGTACGCACACACACACACACACACACACCACGGGCGGCAGCAGCAGCGGCGACAAGGAATCTGACATCACCGAAGTTCTGTCAATGAATCCCGCCACCGTTTGATTCGCTGGTCAGAGGCGTGTTGGATGTCTCTCGGGTTCTCTTGGGATGCTGTTCGGAGGCCTCTTGTGGGCTTATTGAATCGCTTCGCTCATTCCGCCGGCCCGTACTGTGCCATAGCAGGCGTCTGCCCGCGCGTTCGTGGCCTCGTAGAGCCTCGTGCGGGCTGCTTGGGGGCCTCTTGGCGCCTCTTTTTGGGCCTCTTGGGGACCTCGTGGGGCCTCCAGGGGGGAGGAGGAGGAGGAGGAGGAGGAGGAGGAGGAGGAGGAGGAGGAGGAGGAGGAGGAGGAGGAGGAGGAGGAGGAGGAGGAGGAGGAGGAGGAGGAGGAGGAGGAGGAGGAGGAGGAGGAGGAGGAGGAGCTCTCTTTTGGCCTCTTGGGGCCTCCTGAGAGCCTCCTGGGGCCTGGTGGTTCGCGTTCCCCCTCTTAGGGCCCCTCTTAGGGCCGTCTTGGGGCCCTCTGGGGCGCTCTTGGGCGCATCTTAGGGCCGTGCTGGAGCCCTCTTGGGCCGTCTTGGGGCCCTCTTGGGCCTCCTTGGGGCCCTCTTGGGAACTCCTAGAGCTCTCTTGGAGGCCTCTTGAGCCGTCTTGGGGCGAGATTTGGGGCCTGCGAGATTTCGGGCCTCTTGGGCCGTCTTCGAGCGTCGGGAAGCCGAACAGGTGAGAACGCCAAAATCCTTCAAAGCCGAAGGAGAAATCTATGGTCTTTGCCTCCTGGGGCCCTCTTGAGACGCTTCTTCGAGGCCTCTTTGGGCGTCTTGGGGGGCGTCTGCGGCCGTCTGGAGGCTATCTTGGGCGTCTTGGACCGATCGGTCGGCGACTCGGAGCCCTCTTGGACCGTCTTGGGGACTCTTGGGGCCCTCTAGGAGCTTATGTTGCATCCTCGGGGGACCTTGTCTGTCCCGTCGCGGCCCTGTCCGCGTCGAATCTGTGTCGAATCCATGTCGGACGCGTCGGATCCGTGTCGGATCCGTGTCGAATCCGCGTCGAGTCCACGCCGAATCCGCGTCGAGTCCGCATCGAGCGCGCGTCGGGCCCCCCAAAAAGACACCAATTTTTGGGACAGGCGAGGTCCCCCGAAGGTGCAACATAATCTTGGGGCCCTCTGGGAGCGCTCCGGGGCGCCCGCAAGCCGCGCCCAGGGGGCAAAAAAGCATCTCTGTGGGTCGGACCGCCCAGGGCACTCTTCGTCCGGGGACCCCTCCTCCTCCTCCTCCTCCTCCTCCTCCTCCTCCTCCTCCTCCTCCTCCTCCTCCTCCTCCTCCTCCTCCTCCTCCCTTTGCGGTCGTCCTCGGGTCTTTAGACAACTTCCTGGGGATCTATTCGGGCCTCCTGGGATCTCTCGGGGGCCTCTTGGGCCGTCTTGGGAGGATCTTGGGCCGTCTCGGGCCCTTGGGCCGTCTTGGAGCGATCTCGGTGGCTTCTTGGACCGTCTTGGGGCGATCTCGGGGGCCTCTTGGGCGGTCTTGGGCTGGCGGAAGCCCCGACTTTCGAGAGCACTATGTCTGTCATAAGCCTGTGGACAATCAACGATACGCTCTATTGACTTGAGGCCGTCTTGGGTCATCGTGGAACGCTCTTGCGCCGCCTCGGGGTCCTTGGAGCTCCCTTGGGGCGCTCCTGGGGCTTTACTGGATCCCGTTGTCAATTATTCGCGATTCTGCCCGTGATCGGCCCCTCTTAGCGGATCCTCTGACCCGGGTCAATCCAAACCCGGGTCAGTCAGGCCTTGCAAATCCTACAAGATCCTGCACCTAAACCCGGGTCAGTGCGAAGGATTCTGCAGCATCCTGCGGGATCCTTCACCCAAGCCAGGGTCAATGCGACCCTGGCCCTGCAGGATCCTGCAAGATCGGGCGCTCTGGCTGACCCCCGTTTGCACTAACCCCTGTCTCAAGGCTCCCGACCTCTCCCCCCCACCACACCCCGGTCACGCCCGTATCGTTAAGGGAGGATAACAAAAACTGCCTCCCGGGGCTTCACTTGGGGTTCTGGAGCTCGCGCCCAAGAGACCGGTATGCCCCGACCTTGCCAGGGACTTGCCAGGACCTCGCGGGGAATCGCTGGACGCCACAGGACATTGGAGGCCAGTCCACAAGAAGCCTTCCACAAGAAAACCAGCCCTGAGGCCCCACGACGTCCATCGACTTTTTGGTGTGGGAACGTCACGCGTCCCATGGCAGAACACCATCGAAACCCGAGAAGCTCAGGGCACCCTGGAGGCAAGTAGGGCGTTGCTTGGCATGGGCCTCCACTGTAAGGAGGAGGAGGAGGAGGAGGAGGAGGAGGAGGAGGAAAAGGAGGAGGAGATGGAGGAGGAGGAAAAGGAGGAGGAGATGGAGGAGGAGCAGGAGGAGAAGCAGGAGGAGCAGGAGGAGGAGGTGGAGGAGGAGGAGCAGGGGGAGGAGGAGGAGGCTGTAGGCTGAAAGTGAGTCAGCGACTGCACACAGACACTGCTCGACCTCCGCAAAGGAGGAGCAGGAGGGGGAGGTCGAGGAGGGGGAGGTCGATGACGTCGATGTTCTGCCGTCCCCGTGGACGTCAATGCGGAGGCGGAGGAGAGGGGTGGAAGGAAAAACAGTGATGCAGAGAGGAGAGAAAGGCAAGCTAGGTGCGCCCGCGCCATATCCGACATCCTGTCCCTCCCTCCCATCCCGTCCCGTTGCGCTGATTTGTATATGTGTGTGTGTGTGCGTGTGCGTGTGCGTGTGCGTGGTGTGCGTGGTGTGCGTGGTGTGCATGGTGTGCGTGGTGTGCGTGGTGTGCGTGGTGTGCGTGGTGTGCGTGGTGTGCGTGGTGTGCGTGGTGTGCGTGGTGTGCGTGGTGTGCGTGGTGTGCGTGGTGTGCGTGGTGTGCGTGGTGTGCGTGGTGTGCGTGGTGTGCGTGGTGTGCGTGGTGTGCGTCGTGTGCGTCGTGTGCGTCGTGTGCGTCGTGTGCGTCGTGTGCGTCGTGTGCGTCGTGTGCGTCGTGTGCGTCGTGTGCGTCGTGTGCGTCGTGTGCGTCGTGTGCGTCGTGTGCGTCGTGTGCGTCGTGTGCGTCGTGTGCGTCGTGTGCGTGTGTGCGTCGTGTGCGTCGTGCGCGTGCGCGTGCGTGCGCGCGTGCGTGCGTGCGTGCGTGCGTGCGTGTGCGTGGGTGTGCGTGCGTGGGTGTGCGTGCGTGGGTGTGCGTGCGTGGGTGTGCGTGCGTGCGTGGGTGTGCGTGCGTGGGTGTGCGTGCGTGGGTGTGCGTGCGTGCATGGGCGTGCGTGCATGGGCGTGCTTGCATGGGGGTGCGTGCGTGGGCGTGCGTGCCTGGGCGTGCGTGCATGGGCGTGCGTGCGTGGGTTTGCGTGCGTGGGTGTGCCGCGGCCCCGCTGCCAGCGCCGCATGCTCGCCGCGGCCCCACTGCCAGCGCCCTTCTGTCTGCCCCCCAAAACCGAAAAGAAAAACATAACATGTTTCATTGTTGCGCCGTTGCTTTTGAACAAATCCTTGCATCGAGGGCGCCAAACGCTGGATTTCTTTCGGTTTTGCAAGCCCCCGCGCTCGCGGCGGCCTCACTACCAGCACAAAAAACTTCGCTGGACAAACAACACGGAGGAAGGGCAATCGAGCAAAATGAAGAGGAAATCTGGGGCGATCGGTGGATCCCTCGTTCCTTCCTGACCTCCTCCTCCTCCTCCTTCTACCCCCCCCCCCCTCCTCCTCCTCATCCTCCCCCTCCTCCTCCTCCTCCTCCTCCTCCTCCTCCTCCTCCTCCTCCTTCTCTGTCTCCTCCCCCCCTTTCTTTTTTGGCTCCCGACGGCTGTCCTCGTTCAGCCCCTCCAGCGCGACACTGTACTGCGCGGCCAAGTCGGCCACCTTCCGCTGCTTCTGGTTGTTCTTCAACAGAAGAGCCTCGTTTAAGTCAGCAAACTTTTGTCCTCCCCCTCCACTTCGCTCTGGGTGAGCGGCGTGAACCGCGCCTCTCCAGTGGCTTTGGGGCGCGCGACAGCTTTGCCTGTCCTGGTCGCGCACTCCCCCCGCTCCGCCGTCCGACTCTCCTGGCGGATCCTATCGTCGAAAGCCCTTTCCGTGCGCGTCTCCTGGAGCTGGTCGCCCGTCTTCTGCACCTCGGGCCCGTCCTTTTCCACCTCCTTGCCCTCCTCCTTCTTCACCTCCTCCGTTTCCTCGTTGGTCTTGCTGTTCTGCTTCGTCTCCTCCTTGCTCTTCTCCACCCCCTTTTGTCCCCTCCTGGCGCACGTGCCGGCCGGCTGTTGTTGCCTCGGTAACAGACGTCCTGCGCGAAATTGCGGCAAAGCTCGCGGGGCGTCTTCTGGGGCCCGTGGAAGAAGGGGCAGTCGTCCCCCTTGGTGCAGAAAGCGTCGTTGTGGAACCAGCACGCAGGCCGCCAAGTGGAGCTCTGCGCTGCCGCCTTTTTGGCCTCCACCCTCTCCTTCCAGGAAAGCTTGTTGTCCTCCTTGTCCTCCTCCCTGCTCTCTTGCTTGTCCTCCGTCGCGTTCTCTTTCTCGTATCCCTTCTTGCCCTCCTTCTCCTTTTCCTTCCCCTTCTTTTTCTTCTTGTTGTCTCTTTCGCTGCCCAACTCCCCGTCGTGCGCCAGCTTTACTTTTTTTGTGCAGTTCCTGCTCGTCCTCTGGGTTGAACAGCCAGCCTTGCTTGGGCTTGAGGCCCGCCCGTCTGCGACTGCCTCCGCCCGCTGGCGCTTCTGGCGGGTGATCTCCTTCTGCGAAGGGGTTGTGGTCTTCTCCTGGTTATCAGCCATCGCGGGTGCGTTTAGAAGAAACATTAAGCGAAGCTGCAGCCGCACTCCTGCCTCTAAGGAGAGAGGGATATATATATATATGTATGTATATGTATAGAGAGAGAGAGAGAAATAAAGAACGAGAAAGAGAGAGAGAGAGAGAGAGAGAGAACGCGAGGAGGAAGATGCGGAGGAAGAAAAGGAGGATGAGGAGGATGAGGAGGATGAGGAGGAGGATGAGGATGAGGAGGATAAGGATTAGGGTGACGAAGAGGATGATGAGGATGAGGAGGCGGACGAGTAAAAGGAGGAGGGCGGAAGATGGGGGGTAGGAGAAAGAGGAGGA